TATTATTTTTCTGTTTTCCTTCTCTTGGTCCCATTCTGCTCTTAGACCATTCTGTTTATTGACTGGCCTTCGAGTTTGACTTAATTTGACTTAAATCAGTTTTGAAATGTAACGGTCGCGTAAAAATTGTTCATCACACAATTTCCAAATATGAAAACTGTGCAATTGGATTTTTTCTAAGGACTTCATTAGTGATATATTTATATCTTTGAATTTCTCTAAATCAAACTGTAGAATTTTATGATCATGACCATTCGAGTTATCATTTTCATTGAACAAGAAACTTTAACGGAATCAACTATTCATACAGCTTCCGAATGGAAAATCATCAGACATTAGCCAGTCTTTTCTTTTGCCTAAGTTTTCTAATTGAAATTTTATGACGAGCAGTCAATAAAACATATATAAAAGATGAGTAAAAAAAGATTTCGGATTTTCAGAAAGTTAGGATTTTCAAACTTTTAACCCCATCCAATAAAAGGGTTGTTTCTCGTGTGATGTGATGCAAAATCAATTACCACTACATCACAACCTGATTTAGGTCTTCAGGGTGAAAAAATGGTTAAATATGATATAAATGCACTATCGTAAAGTCGCTACGTTCAATTATTGTCTAGAGTTTTTTCAACTTGTACGTTTTCACAAACAAAAATAATCATGTATCTAAAACTAGTGGGTTGCAGATTTTCAAAACTTTAACGCAAAATAGGCCACTTTAACTCAAAATTGATTTTTCACAATTAATGTTTTCCTGTAAACATAAGCTTTCAAAATGAATTTCTTAAATAACTTAATAATTAAATTTCGTTTGCCCCTATGTTTATCATTGGCTGTCATATTTCACCACCAATCAAGTTTAGCTCAACATCATCAACATCAGTGTGTTGAAAAAAAATCTATTTTACAGTGGTAAGAACCAGCAAAGTATTTCGATCTCGAATTTTTTTCCTACGAAAATGAAGTATTAAAAACAAGGGCGGATCTAGGATTTTCTCGAGGGGGGGGGGGGGTGGATTTTCAAAAAAAAAATCGAAAATTTTGACGACCTTTTTTTTAGGTCGACCAAATTGATTTTTCGAGCTCTCCCAAAGCACTGTTTTGCCCCTATTGTGGCAAAATTTTCATCGCCGCAGGCAAATTTTTGAAAAAACAGTAATTAAAGTCGTTTTTTGGCACTTTTTGAAAAATTTCGACAAAAAAATCGCGTTTTTTTTGACGCGCGCTCCCCCTCAAAGTTAGTATATATTGGCACCGAAGGCGCCTTTAGAAAAATTTTAGGGTCGGTCGGCCAAAAATGGATTTCTGAAAAAGTATCAAAGGGTGGACCCTTTTGGTCGGCAGGGGGTCGAATCCCTGAGAGGGGAGGCGTCCGCCCCCCCCCCCCCTAAATCCGCCCCTGATTAAAGACTTAATAATTACCACTCAGCCCTATTGTTATAGTACAAAGTTCGTCACAAGGTACAAAATGCAACATTGATTCATCTTCCATTTAGTTCTTTATAAGGTTTTCAGTTCTTTACTAGATACCATACAAGGGGTTAGTAGTCAAAAACATATAAAATTTACTACTCAAACGTGATTTCGTTTTTTACTGAAACGTTTGCACTCCAAACTAGGTACAAATTATTTATTTCTTACGTATTTAAAGTTGCATTTAAAAGTTGTATTTAAATGAAGAACACTAGTTTTGAGACTAGTTTTTGTTCACGCCAATAAAAATGCCAAATAAAGAAATCCTGTAGATGAAGCCTATTAATTTCATCTCTTCAAAAACTTCGCCCAATTTTTTTTTCGAAAGGTAATTCTTAGTTTTATTAGATTTCAATCAGAACTAAAAAAAATACTATTCTCCACTCTTACTACTTTTCACTGACAAGCCTAAATTGCGCCTACAAAACCTAGTCCTTTCAAGTCATTTCCAGTGACCGGTTGGGATATATCTGATTCTACATGATTCGAACACTGTCCTCAGAACCGAGTACTCGTGATTCTTTGCTTTGCTCAATTTTTACCTAACTCATTCTAATAAGAGAGCATTGAATGCGCTGCAACAATGCGCATAGTTAGATCCATAAATTCCACGAAGTGTCAAGCTTGCATTCGAAAGCAGGGTTGCTCACATAAATTTAAAGGCACTTAGGTAATCAGAACTGTTCAATGAAACATTAAATGCTAAATGTAGAACAACAGAACAAAATGTAATGCAGAAATTAAAAATATACTGGGGGCATCAACAGCGATTTTTGCTTGATAAATTGAATAGTTTAAAGACAATTTCAACGTGTATTTTCTCACTTACTAAAATAACCATGTCTCCAAAACTATTGGGTTTCAAATTTTAAAAAATTAATTCAAAAACGGCCCCCAGCATAAATGCAAATATTTTAACGCACAGGCGACGCTGCTCTTCGCAAACACTAGCGAAAACTGTACAAAAAGCAGCTATAAAAAAGGCAATAAGAAAAAGTACTAATCATTCAGCCACGGACGCTTAATAAATGACAAATACTTGCCACAAATAAAGCAGAGAACAGATGATATGTAATTTTCAATGCTACAGATTGTGATTGTAGTAGCAAAAGTGCCACTAAACAAAAGAATTTTTTTTGCGAGCTACCTTAGGAAAAGAAATTTCTTACTAATACACTTCGATTGCAAGTGTAAAAAATGCTCTGTAATCGTTAACTTTTTCCTATAATCACGTGTTTTCTGGACAAAACCATTGTTCAAAGTAGTTGTTAAAGTTCAATTGCTATTGTGGAGTGTAATCAGGGTACTCATAAGAATTACGAAACTGTTTTCCAGATAAAAAAGCTCAAATATTTCATTTTCCGCGCTATGAATTTTAGTTCTGCAGGGCACTCCAAACTAGGTACAAATTATTTATTTTTTACGCAAATTTGTTAATTATGATTTTTAGTGCAAAAACAATTGCGTTAAATGAGCGAATAGACTACAAAAAATGTATTTAAATGAGGAACACTAGTTTTTGAAACTAGTTTTTGTTCACGCCAATAAAAATGCCAAATAAAGAAATCCTGTAGATGAAGCCTATTAATTTCATCTTTTCAAAAATTTGGCCCAATTTTTTTTTCGAAAAATAATTTTTTGTTTTATTAGATTTCAATCAGAACTAAAAAAATACTATTCTCCACTCCTACTACTTTTCACTGACAAGCCTTAATTGCGCCTACAAAACCTAGTCCTTTCAAGTCATTTCCAGTGACCGGTTTGGATATATCTGATTTTACATGATTCGAACACTGTCCTCAGAACCGAGTACTCGTGGCTCTTTGCTTAGCTCAATTTTTACCTAACTCATTCTAATAAGAGAGCAATGAATGCGCTGCAACAATGCGGATAGTTAGATCCATAAATTCCAGGAAGTGTCAAGCTTGCATTCGAAAGCAGGGTTGCTCACATAACTTTGAAGGAACTTAGGTAATCAGAACTGTTCAATGAAATCTTAAATGCTAAATGTAGAACAACAGAACAAAATGTAATGCAGAAATTAAAAATATACTGGGGGCATCAACAGTGTTTTTTTGCTTGATAAATTGAACAATTTAAAGACAATTTCAACGTGTATATTCTCACTTACTAACATAATCATGTCTCTAAAAATAATGGGTTTCAAATTTTAAAAAATTTATTCAAAAACGGCCCCCAGCATATATGCAAATATTTTAACGCACAAGCGACGCTGCTCTTCGCAAACACTAGCGAAAACTGTACAAAAAGCAGCTATATAAAAGACAATAAGAGAAAGTACTAATCATTCAGCCACGGACGCTTAATAAATGACAAACACTTGCCACAAATAAAGCAGAGAACAGATGATATGTAATTTCCAATGCTACAGATCGTGATTGTAGTAGCAAAAGTGCCACTAAACAAAAGAATTTTATTCGCAAGCTACCTTAGGAAAAGAAATTTCTTACTAATACACTTCGATTGCTAGTGTAAAAAATGCTCTGTAATCGTTAACTTTTTCCTATAATCACGTGTTTTCTGGATAAAACCATTGTTCAAATTAGTTGTTAAAGTTCAATTGCTATTGTGGAGTGTAATCAGGGTACTCATAAGAATTACGAAACTGTTTTCCAGATATAAAATTTCAAAATATTTCATTTTCTGCGCTATGAATTTAAATTCTGCAGGGCACTCTGAGGGCTGGCAAGACTAGCAGCCAAATTTAATTCCGGGATTTGACTGATTTCCATGTTGTTTCAAACTTTTAATTATGCTTGATGCCAGTAAATCATATACGCATGAGCATAAGAAATTTAACAAGACTGCTCGTATCAGGGCAAAAATTAAATGTGAAACATTTTCTAAAATTTGATTTTTTTTGTAAAATTCATCCCCCCGCACGCCATATAAAATACAAAAGCATAGATTTCAGTCCTTGTAACAAATCAATTATGGCAAATAAGCTTCTTTCAACTAATTTTGAACGATTTCTAAGACGGATTAAATATCCTATTACGCGTTAATAGCGCGAAGTTTACCGCACGTTTGTTGTCCCAAATTGACCAAAATGGCAATCTTTAAACCCCCATAACTTTACAAAAAATAGTCAGAGGTGAAAGATCTTTTCAAAATTAAGCTCAGGACAGCAATACTTTTCGAGTTATATAAAAAAATTTCCGTCAAAAATGGCTAGTTTATATGTCGAAATTTGTCTGAAGAAAAAAAGCCACCCGAGCACAAATTTTTCGTTACTTTCGTTACGAAAATAACGCCATGCTGCCATCAAACAATAAAAATGTGAACCAATAAGAAAATCAGTCAAATCCCGGAAACTCTGAAAAGCTTCAGCAACCATATTTGGCGGCTAGATTGAGCAGCCTCAAAGTACCCTGACAGAAACCAAAATTTTGTAAAGCAAGTTTATTAGCATAAATCCGAGATCAAAAACCACTTCACAATTCAGTTCTTACGCTATGCTTCATCGTAGTCCAACGTACCAAACTGTTCTAAGGTTTCAAAAAACAACGAAAGAGAAAAACTTGAATTATGAACCAATTGGATCTAATCTGCTTCAATTAATCTAGAGTTGGGGTAAGGGACATCGAAGGGCATACTTGCTATTATATGTACATCAAGAACATTTTCAAGAGTTTCTACAACACGATCGGATGATGTAAAGAAATTTGCTCCACCAAATTGTTCATTCAAGGTCAGGAATCTTCGGGTCAACTTTGAAATTACTTTGCACAAAAATCAATCTCTGACGAAGTTTATCCTACAATTAAACCTACTCAACACGCCTTCTCTCTTCTATTGGATTAGGAAAGATTATTAAATCATTCCAAGAATTTAAATCGCATTATTAAAAGTAAGTAACTAATGGATTTAACTATGTTTTTAGTATCATGAACCAACTGATTTGAATATCATACAACTCTTTGACCAAGTACTGAAGGTTAAACTTTTGTTTATTTTCAAAGCAATTTGACCCTAGCCAAGGCAAAGTATGGTTTCTGATTAGTCTTTATTAAATGAAGGACGCTCTGAATTTTTGTGTACTGATTAACGGTTGAGATCTACTTTTTCGTTCAACTGGGGGGTGCAGGGTCTCTGGATTTTTTTTGTCAAAGAACGTTTGAATATGTTTGTCAAAAAACATGCTTGTCGAAAAAAAGTTGCCGAAAAATGTTTTTTTTTTTTTACTTTTTTTACAGACTGGTCGACCAAATTGTTTTTCTCAGTTCTCTTAAAACCCTATGAAAACCCTGTATAGCAAACCCCATTTTTCCAATAATTTTTAGGCCGCAGTCGAAATTTAAAAAAAAAACAGGCCAACAATAACGTTATCAGGGACTTTAGAAGGTTTTGTTCAAAAAATTGTTTTTCGAGGAATGCTCTCCTCAAAGTTGGTGTATATTGGCGCCAAGGGCTTCTTAAAAATTCTAGGGCTAGTCAACCTAAAATGGATGTCGCTGAACAGTACCAAAAGGACCTTTTGGAAACATTTGGCCAGAATTATGACCCATTATAACCCATCAGCCATGATTACCAGCAATTTTATCAGAAACTTAACTCGTCCAAAACTGACCCAAAAGGAAAACAGGCAGATTAGAAGAGACTAAATATACTAAGCAGCACCATAAAAAATGTCAATATTGTACAGTATTTTTGTTGATTAAATAGCAAACAAAATTAGCCATCACACATCAAGCTTTATTACCTCGATTTGTTGAGCTTAAATTTCGAAATTACTTCAACTCATTTTCGTAATAAACCTTGAAAAATTGACTAGATAACCGCCACTTAAATATGAACAGAAATGCCATTTAACTGGGAGTAAAAAGAAGAATTTTTTGTTAATTAGTTAACTTAGTTTTCTTCCATTTGAGAATCAAGGCATATTAATTTAGAACGTTCCTAAAAACTAACATTTAGCGGTCAAGAACCAGCCGATCCAAAAGCGAAATAAAGGTGGGCTCAGTATATAAAACAGCCGGACATATTACGCCAATGACTTCCAAACACTTTCACGTAACAACATAACTGTTACATAACTATTGCATAAAAATAACGAAACATCGTAACATATTCGGCTGTTTTACAGAGTTGCTCGTATATATTCATCAGCTGGTTTATAAAAATAGCACTGTAACACTACTAGCAGTTAAATTAAGTACGCCAAAAAGGGAAAATGGCATTCAAAGAAAGTTTTAAGTTCAAAAAAGTTTGGATGTCTCCTCTAAACTAGTCTGTCAATTGCCGTCTCAATGCAGGCGGTGCACACTCTCACGGGCGACAATAGTCCATACCTTGGCAGGGGCACAAAATTAGACGCGCAGGTGGAGCAGAATATTTTGCCACAAAGCCTGCAATGGTGTCTTCTTTTGAAGAAGTTAAAACAGGTGCTGCAACCCGAGCAACACGTGCACTCCGCATCATCGGTCCAGGGCGGGGGTTCCTCGTGTTGCTTCAGTGTAATGTAGTGCTTGCTGGTCAGCCACCCTTTCGTTATATCATTCTGAATCTCTTCTACGCTCTTGTCTCCACTCGAAGACATGGAAATAAAGACACTTTTCAGCGTCTGTCTTAAATCATTGGCGTAGTTACTTTGCAACTGGTCAGCTACACCCGAAATGCAGACGAACAAAGTGTGAATTAGGTCACGTGTGCATTTGAACTTCGACCTCAGAAGGTGAAGTTTCTGAGGGATTAGACCTTCAGACTCGGTTTCGCTACTCGAATCTTTGAACAGGGAATCTCTGTAAAGAGTAGATGTCGAAGATCCGCTCTCGTCTTGGTTCCCACTCGTAGTCGAGGTCTGTTTCCGGACTCCCCTACTGGAATCTTCTCCTCGTTCCGGCTGGTAGTCTACTTGAGCAATCTCGGGTTCTGGGGTCATGAGCAACCTTTGCATCACTGCGTTGTCGAACGCGGTCAGATTTTCCACCGACTCAATAAACGGACTGATAGGTTGTGGAATTGAGTCTAATGGTTCTGTATATTGATCATGCACATCTGAACTCGAAGAAATGACTCCAGACCTCACAACAACATCTGATCCAAATTGGTTCGATGGAGCTGTGATTGTGCTGCCCCGACTCCTCGATGATGCAGGCCAGTTGTCAGAGGTTCTAATCCCAGTGATTTCGTTTTCTAATTGCGAGTTAATTTGTTGATTCACGGATGCTCGAGCGCTAGAAGGGGATGTCTGGTCTCTCCTGGTTGCGGTATTCGAGGCACTTGAATCGCCCTCGTTAGATGAATCGTATCCGTCCTCTTCGGCGCTCGAGTAGGGAGGGGGAGGGTAGTCGGGTGGTCCAGGATCCCGTCCCACTGGGTTTTGAACCCGGGACAGAGAACTGGTATCTGAAGAACTGTTTGAGACATTCGGCGAAACAGGAGCTCCGTGCTCCGAGAGTTTCACATCTGTACTATTTCTACTATTTGATTGAGAGGTCTGCAAAATAGCTGCAGGTGTATCACTAGGAGAAACTGAACGTGAACCCGACTCGTTATTTTCATCTCCAAAAGAGTTATTATGAACCTCTACCTCAGTTATAATGGTCAAGTTCTGATTATTAACATTAATAACGCCGCTACCTCGTCTATTCTCGCCATTTTCTGAGCTCCCGCAATCGGTTCCATTTGATATCTTTTTCTGGATATCCCGAATATTCGTCTCCACTGAAGCTAGATTCGCCTGGTAGGTGCTATTAGGCATGAATATATGCTCAGGTAACAATGTTCCGAATCTTCGACTGCGACCTCGCTCTCGACTTTTTGAATGGTCTTTTCGCTCGTAATTTGAACCCTTCAAAACTTCTTCTGCCGCCAAAACAACTTCGTCAAAATTTTCCTCAGAGCACAAAGTTTTCTCGAGAATAAAAAGCTCATCTTCTGAAAGTGTGAACAAAAGATCTCTGATTTTGCGAAGTAGTTTGTAAAAAGGCTTGAACATCTGAGGTAGACCTTCTGGACCCTTAGTCAAGTCCAGAGGCCCGTCCGGAAAAATCAGCACTCCGCATATGATGGCCAGACGCGGAATCGAAATCATCAAATCGGGATCATAATCCTCGATCATTTCATACTTCAGCAAATGTTTTTCAATTGCTCTTTCGACTGTTTCACAGAAGAGAACCGATATTTCTAACATTTTGTCGTGATCATCCACCGATCTAACTCGCGATAAGACACTCACGTATTCGAACTCAAACTGAGCAAAAATCTCGTCGAAACTGACCATCGCGTCTTTGATCGAACTGGGATAGACATTCAGATTTTTCAACGCTTGTTCACGAAGCGCTGTTCTAAGTTTGCTCAAACTTTTTACTACTTGTTTGGCCAAGGGTCTGAGCTGAATACTTTCTTGTTCACGATTAACTATAGTCGAGCCAGCACATAGACATTCAGCTCCGAACCAGAGCTGTCCGGCTAAATTATCTTGTAAAATGTCGTCTGGAAACTTGACTCGGAACTCGCGAGTAGTATCGTCGCAACCAGGGGCTATTACGTTTTTGATTTCTTCAATAAGTCCTATCACTTTTTCCTGGGCTAATTTCAAGTCGGCGATTAGCTGTGAGCACCGCTCTGGTTCGCTTCGGCCGTCGAAGCTGTCTAACTCGTGTGTGACTCGAATCAGTTCCTCGTCTGCATAGTAGAACTGAGCTAGGAGTCTTGTGTCTGTTTTATTGGGTTTTTTCACCCATTTTCGAAGAGCATGCATGGTTGATATGTATCTTCTTCCCATTCGCTTGAGCATAAAGCTCGTTCGTTTCTTCCGCACAAACTTAGACGTTGTAATTGATATTCAAAAACCGAATATTCGAGATAAATTTTTGGGGTAGATTGTCGCTAATTTGGCTGTTATTACGACAGAGCCAATCTGACAACAACGGAAACTATTTTTTTGGAAAACTAAATGATCTAAATCTTCTATGAGTCTTCGTTTCTCTCAATAGTAGGGTTATATTTATTCTTCAAATTAACTTAGCTCGTTCGTTAATTGTAATAATTTTGATGATTCGAAAATGATCAAATGACGTTAAGTTATAATTCGATTAGCTTCAAGTTCTAGAATATTTACTTCAAAACTTGAGTAAATAATCGGACATTACTCTCATATTTAACATCGCAGTGAAAATGTCACGCTGATTGGTAAATAAATTCAGCCGCCGAATTGTTAATTTCTCTGCCACAAACAAACCTTGCAAAATTTTGAATATTTTCTCTTTTTGCGTGATTTGTTAAAACCATAAAAGTTGCAGCTACCGTGCTTTGCGTACAGCAACCAAGCAGAACGTGAAAATGACGCAGTTGAAAAAAATTGTTAAAACATTCAAACGTCTGAAATAAGCATACCGTCACTAATAATCTAACTATTTGATATTTTGAGAGCTATTTTTTCACTAAGGCTCGTTACTCGATGAATCAATAGAAGCAATGCGCTTTTGTAATCTAATTAAAGCGCTTGCATGAATAAGCCTCAAAGCTCTAGTGCTATTTTGCTTGATAGTCAATTTGCTCTGGCCAAATATTTATCCTAAAATTTTGACGTTTAGCGCCTAGTAGATCCTGCTTTAAATCAGACATTCGAGATCTCTGTAAAGCTAAAATCAGACCACCAACAATACATCAAACTGCATTATCTCGAATGTGTACTGAATTTGAATATCCATACTGCTTCAGCTGACATAACAAAATTGTGTCAAACTCTCATTTAAAGACCTTGAGAATAAACAAAACATGAGTCATTACGGCCGCAAAGCAATTGGGGTTTGAAAAAATTATTCAAAAATTTACAAATTTTTACAACTAAATAGACAATTTTTGATCAAAATCATATTTTTACTCAAAATAAATGATATAAATAAGGGGTTCCGTAGATCTCTCGTAGTCTTATCAGGGGTCGTCCAGGATTCATTGCATAAAGCCAGGATTAGATTAGACCCTCAATTCTGGGTGGCTAAAAACGGTTGACCGACTGGCTTGTCCTTTCGGCACCGAGGCAAACGCAGATTTGACTCCGTTTCGTCCGGCTTCTCCCCGGAACTCCTCGTGGAACCCGATGAGACGTTCCAGTTGAGTTGGAGTAGCATCGGGATAGTTCTTGCATAGTGCCCCCAATATAACGATCATCATGTCTTTGTTTGTCAGGTAGATGTCAGCAGTGCTCACTACAGCCTGAAAAAAAAAGAACCACAAATATTGAGAGAGCAGTGGGGAAGTAGAGTCTAAGGTCAGCGCCTCCGTGTCGAAAGGTCAAAGGATCGAAGCCCACAATGATCCGCACTCGCTGCTGGTGAGACTAACGGAACAATTCTCCGCCCAGAAAAATAACAAAAAATGCATGTGGGTATATGCATGGGGTTTTAATTAATTAGACACAGCAGAATTTCGCCGAATTGAGCTGAACAGCTGACATGTTCGTTCCTTCCTTGTCTTACCTTACTTCGATAGTGAAGTTTGCCTTCGATTTAAATAAAGGAAATGAAGAGAACTTAAAAAGAAATCAAAAATCAAATCGCGAAAATAAAATTTGAGCGTGATCAAATTTTCAGAAACTTCTTTAAAAAAAATGAAACCGTCACGACTTATATTAGAAACTTAACTACGTTCATCGACTCCTAAACAGTGGGGGAAAAGCACATACCTGCAGTGGTCCCTCCGAGTGTGATATGGCACAGCCTTTGAGTGTCTCCAATTTGTCTATAAAGTACTTGTGCAGTGTATCTGCTTCCTTCTTCATCTTATATGCTATCTTCTGTCTGTCCTCAAAATTAGCCGCCGACAGGGCTCCTGAAACAGGAAACAAATTATTATTCACATAACCACAGTGATATGAGATACCTATATCTATGTTGAGATTCCATAGCTGCCCACAAAAAGCAAACGCAATTCAACTAAACATCTACACAATTATCAATACTTCGTAAAAAATAATTGCAAGAAAAAAAACAAAAAAAAATCGGGCCAGTTTTTCTCGTTTTTTTTTCAGAATTCAAACCACGGCTCAAAAGGTTTTAACGAGACAGCCGGCACACTTGAACCCCGACGAGGTCAAAGTTGGCTAAAACAGACTACGCCATCGTTCCTTCCCACCCATAGGGGGTTGTCGGAACATTAATTCGTCAAAAATCATCAATTCGTCTGATAAAATATGTTATAATCATAATTTATAACTTTAAATGATAATTTATAAACGATGTTCAGTTTTATTGATTCAAGATTTGGGCAGTAAAGCTTTGGATATCGATGGATTCGTTAGCTATCCTCTCAAGTGAGTTATTTATAAATTTTGCTTTCACTTATTTGATGATATTAACATATTAAGTCTTCTTCTTAATGTTAGTGTTCTTCTTCTCTGAAGAGCTTTAATAGTTTCAGTATTTTCAATTTATTGGCACATCAAACGTGAAGAACAATTTTCTAAAAACATCTTTACACTAAAGAGACAAATATTTTCAGATGAGCAAGCAACAGTTGTACAATTCAATTGCACTGCTCAACATTGGTACAATTAACGCCGAATTTCTGAGAAAGCTTTGAACCTCTAGAAATTGGACGAACTACTACTCAATTGCTACTAAGGTGATGTATCAGTCAGTTAGAGAATAATTAAGTCAATTTAAGGATATAGAACATTCGCCGCTTCACTGCATTGTCATTTTTTGCTTCTGCATTTTACCATCAAAGCTCTTCTGCAAAGCATTTGCAAAAGCGGATCTGCGTCTTTCTCTTTTTGTCATTGTAGACGTCTGACCGGCAGCTCCTGGCTGCTTATTGGCCAGACGCACACTAACCGAGCGGGCCAGAGGCATCTTCTGGGACACCTCTTTCACTATGAACTCTTGTACAATCAACATGCAACATTAGACAACATGCAAACAATGGCGCCATTGAAATTAGCACAAGACAATTCTGTTATTCACGGTTTCGAAAAGTTTTCTTTTGTAATATTTTTGCAGCTTCTCTAGTTATAACACCTGCTCCTCTTTCATTATGTTGTGGTTGTTCAAGATAAAAAATCACGAAAAAATGTCAACTTTCGAAATTCAAACTAAAATAGATGCCTTAAAACTCTGAATTTCCAGAAAAAATTATCATTGGCCATTTTTGATAAAATTAACCCAATTTGAGAAAACTGGATCAACAAGTTAAATTTTTATTTCGCTGGGAAATCTTTTTTGAAATTAGAAGTCGATCATACTTTTCGTGAACTTTACACTTTCGCTGTTCAATAATGGAGTTTGCCTTACTTTTAACTAAGGAATAGAAGTGCACTTTAGCTCAACAGCCAAACGGCAAAAAAGTAAATTTGAGCCTGAACAAATTTTACGACTTTTCCTGAAAAAAACTACGTTCATCGGCTCTTCATCATGAAAGTAAATAATCGACTTATTGACAACATGAAAGGCAAAACAGTTTTTCTATTTAATAATCACACCCCCAAAGAGGACAAATAGCTTCGTAATCAAGTACTTGAGACGTTTTAATAGATTTTGATTTACCTCCAAAAGTTCGTTTCACCATCAGTTTCTTCAGATATGCGACTGCGATCTCGGTTTGACACGTGTTCACAAACAACTCCGCATAAGCAGGTTGGAGAGTGTTCAGATCATTCTCTAGGAAGTCAGTCACCGTCATCGAGATGGACTCGCAGAGGGGTTCCGCCTCATCCACCAACCACACGTCTCTGCTCATCAGATTGTCCAGATATGCTTCCTTGGTCCAGAAACTAAAATTGTAATTCATATTCATTATACTCTCATTTGGGCTAGTTTTATTGCTTTTGGATTCGAACTTTTTGTCCACTAAACTCTGACTATTGCCTTTCAGAGAACATTTATCAAACGAACAATTTTAAAAGCGATATGCAAATTTTTGGTTATTCGGGCAACAAACTGATTCATATACAAATTTGTAATTTGAGGATGGAAAACAAAACTACTTCATATGTGCTGATGCTTCTTTTCGATGAAGTAAAAAATAAACAATCACAAAAAATAGCACCTGAAGTTACCATAGACCAACTCCTTGGCACACACTGCAGCAATCATGATGAATCTACGCTTGACCTTCTGGGTCAGATTCTGGATTCTCTCTTTCTGGTCGTCCATCCAGTCTCCAGACGTGAGGAACTTCTTGGACAGTTTTTCCACGTTGTTCTCAGCAATTGAGGCGCAGCAGTTGATGTTGGCCACCATGACTGCGAGAAAGTAGGCAGTCTTGTCGCTGTCCGAAAACTCCCTCGCATTTTTCCAGTCTTCGTAGAACCTGACAAACACGCTCATTTTGTTGAAAAAATTAAAAGACCAATTATATCACTGCTACTGTTAAAATTAAATAGCTTTTAATTAAATCGCTTTCAAGAGAAACGGACTTTGCTTAGACAGACTGCAAAGCCTTTCATAGAACCTCTCCGAATCGCAGAAACTCCATTTTTTTAAATTAGGAAATTCAAGATTAACAAATTCTTATTCCAGAGATTTGCCGCTAATCTGTTCATGTTATACTATCAGAAATTATTTTTTTTATCACAAATTACTAGTAAAACTTTTAAATTTGAAATTAGATTCAGTTAAAAGTATTCAGAAATACCTTCTCAGTTCTGCTTCGTAATTATCTCCAAACGAGTTGTAATACTCCAAAGCACTGATGCCCACGTTGTATGTTATATTAGCCGGAATCTTCTTATCAAAAGCGACCGACTCAAATGTCGTGTTGATAGCTTGGAACAAATCGATATGTAACTGTGTATATCTCAACCCACCGACCACTTTCGGCATTATATAATTTCCGGAATTGTCCTGTTTAGGATTCCTCCAAGTTCTGACTTCAGTTTCCAGACAGTTCTCGGAGTACTTCATTAACGACTCCTCCGTGATTTCCTGGAACTGAGTTTCCATAGTGTCAATTTCGCCCTGGTCCAAAATATCTGACACCTTCGAAACATCAATTTCAAGTTCCGGCAAGCCCATGAATTCAGTTCCCATATATTGAAAACGCACAAAGTAAAGCATTTGAAGAATCAAAGTTTTCTGCGCAAACCTTTCTTGCTCATTAAACTTCGGCTCACTTACTTCGTGGCAAACTTTGAAAGTCCACTCTTTCATTTTCCGATGAATCAGATTTACAAAGAAATCATACAAATCCGGGTAATTCCAAACCTCTTTGGCAAAATCAGGCGGGAAACATTTCACAACATGGAACTTGATCGTCTTCAAATCTTGCACAACCTGTAATTTAATTTTCTGGACTTCGATTCCAAAGACATCCGTCTTGTTATAGAACTCTCCTCGCTCCAAGAACTTCATCAATTCCGAGAAATACTTTTCAATTCTTTGAGAAATTATTTCGTCGAAGCGTTTCAGGCAATCATCGCGCCACTCGCGGTTCCCGTTGAGTCGATCGGGACTGTCGATTCCTTCTTTCTCCTTCACTTCTCTGCATAATTTGTTCTTCGCTTCTTCTCGCCATATTATTCTGGCAATATTCGTCAATTCAGCTGGATTTGTGTTCGCTAATTCCAGGAATCTGGGTAGGTAGTCTTCCATTATTTTGCGGTGTAGTTTGAAAAAGAGTTTCTCGACGTCTGAGAAGAAGTGTCTGATGATTTGGACGTTGTGATCGTAGTCTGGGGCAGATTTGCTCTGGCGAAACAACTCAACTAGAAGATCATCTCGACAGTTCTCTAGTCCTGAAATCAAGAACGTTTGAGAGACATCGCCGAATATTTGATAATCCACAGAACTTCGAGGTTTTAGCCTAGGAATACGTTGGCGCAAACTTAATATGATCAACCCAGTTTCCCATTTTCTTGATAGGCGCTGAAAATCCCCCCTCCAATCTCAGTTGTATGCTGCGACATGCTGCTTTACAAGGTTAAGGTATGCAGATCAGAAGTGTTTGTTTATAGTAATTATTTTACAACCCATAACTGATTAAATCTGACAAGGTCAACAAACGTTTCTCAAGTTAAAATTTACAAGTGGTTGAGCGCAGGGGTGGATTTAGGGGGGACGCTTTTGACGCCAATATATTTTAAACTTGAAGGGAAGCACGCACCTAAAAAGCCAATTTTTGCCAAAACTTTATAATAAGTGCCCAAAAACAGCCTTTTGACCAGTTTTTTCAAAAACGTGCCAGCGGCGCAGAAAAATATGTCAAAATAGGGTCTTTTTAGTGCTTTAGGAGTGCCGAAACAACAATTTGGTCGACCAAACACTTGAAAATCCGCCCTCCCCCTTCGAGAAAATCCAAGATCCGCCCCTGGTGGAGCGGTTAGAGCCTTAGAAATGTAACTATCCCACTAAAATAAAATGGCAAGCAGATTTTTTTAGTCCACGATGAATACCCTCCGGAACTTATCTGAGCTATATTTTAAAAATAACAGAAAGACTTGCGGGTGGATACCAAGTATGAACAAATCAATGAACTAAAAATAATTTTGTTTCTGCGCTTAACCGTATTTAGTCCATGTGAACAACCTCCCCCTGATAAGACCAAGTGAACAATCTCCCCATAAAAGAAAATAACAATTCAGTCAATAAGGCCAGCATGTACTACGCTCAAACCTGATGCGCTGAAAAATACTACTTTTACGCAAGTGAACGGTCTTCTCCCTATTTCGATAAATTGTTGCAATAAACATATTAAAGTTTCAGAGTGGTAAAATGTCTGGTGATTCGCCAATCTTATCCGCAGTTCAGAACATAGGAAAACAACGTCTTAATTGAGAACAACGAGGGAAGAGAATAGTACAGTGATCCCAGAGTTAAGATATCTAGACAACTCCTGCAATGAAGTCAGCGCACAAGAGGCCAGGTGTTGTTCTAAGTACCCTGAATGAAAAAAGCCCACAAGTTGAAACTTCAAATGCAGCAGATTTTTGACGCTGCGATACAAAGATCACTTACGGATGCAAAACCCTTATTAGTAGAGCAAATTAAAAACGGTTGCAAGTATCAATTGCGGACGCAGTTAGAAAGCAGTAGAACGCATTAAAAAAGACGTTTTTGACATTAAAGATGATGAATTTAGTGAGTGAATGACCCAGTAGAACGAAACTGAAAAATTGAAAACCCACAGTAGAAGAGACAACGTTATGATAATTGGCTGGAAAGAAGATACGACAACTATCGAAAACGGAAGAACCACAAACGAGCCTTCAGAAACTACGTTGAAGAAAGTTATTGAAATGTTTGGTGCGATCAATGCTGCCGTAGAGCCAACTGACATATCTGTCATTCATCAATTGCCTTCCAGAGATGGATTGGTGCAACCCATCATTGTGATGTTTTCGAAAAGAATGGCAAAAGTGGATCGAAGGGAAGAAAAAGAGTGAACAAAAAAGTATAGTAAACTTTCACAACAATAAGACTTTCGAACTTATAAACCCAGCGCGGACTGTTTTTTTAACGATGATAAAGCGCGTCACACGGATGTTGAACGCCTAAAACAAAGAAGGAAACATTTTCTACACCTTCCATAATGAACATCGGCTACATAAACAAACCAACTTATACGACGGCGGCATAGATCTCCAATATAAGACCAATAATGAGCTAAGTTGTTTTCCTTTATAATGTTGCTGTCGAAATTAACGCAAAATACAACACTGACCAATAATTAAAAATGTCCGTTATGCACACAAACATGATCTTTGAAAGCTCACTTTGATCAATTGGAAGCACATATTTTAAGCCTTGAGTATCCACCTGATATTTATTGCCTTACTGAAAACTGTAAGTAGCTGTAGCTGGAATTTGGTTAGTCAGCGGTTTTAACTAGTCAGTACAAAAAATCATATAAAACTCAGTGGTGGTGTCATGCTCCAAACACGAAATACGTGCTGTACACTCAGTCAACTTGATTAGCCTTTTGATGAAAGTCTTCTGTTTGATGTAGCAAAAAATTACAAATGTTCCTTGTGCGTAATCTATAATCCAACTGAATTCAACTAACTTCAGTTTGTTGAGAAACTTGATTAGTTTTTTTGGAAAATGGCAAAACTCTTAATCATTCGTTCAATTTGAGGCGAGTTGAATTTCGATTTAAGGCAAGAAAAATTACTTTCGAGAATTTATTTGAACTGTCTATTCAAATGAGTTTTCCATTTACAGCCGTGAACTAACTCGTATAACAGCCAGCAGTTCAGCTTGATAAGATCAATTTATCGTCCAGAACATGTCGAAAACACAGTCAGTAGCTTCTAATACTGAAAAGTCATCAGATCATTACCCGGTACACAGATTAGTTGATCAAATGCCAGATTTTTGATAATAAAATCCCTTTCTGCGATAAATCTTTCATTAGAAACCGAATACAAGTGAATGCGTTTCTAGAAATGACAGAACAAAGAATTGAAACAGCCAAACAGGACTTTTATGAAATGAAGGACCCAGATAAAGCTTCTGATCTTTTAAACTCTTCCGAAGAATTTCTTCATATGTTTTGTGCCAAACAGAAACAACAAGAAACAAGTCAACAAAAAAACCTCCTGGTTCATTAATTACCTTAGAAACCTGAGAATAAAAAAAAAGGTGCGCATAAAAATGGAGAATTAGCTAGAATGATTCCGAATTTTTGATTATGGTTAAAACTTTTACTAAGTTAAAAATTAATAATTATTGTTTTACTAAGTTTTATTGTTCCGACTTTCGATACGAAAGAAACCGAATATTTGTGCTCGGGGTGGGTTTTTTTTTCAGACAAATTGCGACTTTTTAACTAGCCATTTTTGACGGAATTTTTTTATATCATTCAAAAGGTATTGTTGCCCTGAGCTTAAATTTGAAAAAAAAATTTCACCTGTGATCAATTTTCGTAGAGTTATGAGGGTTTAAATATTGCCATTTTGGCCATTTTGACCAATTTGGGACAATTAACGCGCGATATAATTCGCGCTTTTAACGCGTAAGCGGAGATTTAATCGTTCTTATAAATCGTTCCAAGTTGGTTGAACGAAGCTTATTTGCCATAATTGATTTGTTACAAGGAACGAAATCTCCAGTTTTGTACTTTATATGGCGTCTGGGGGAATGATTTTCATTAAAAAAATCAAATTTTAGAAAAAAAGTTTTCATTTTATTTTTTTTTTCATTTAATTTTTTTGTCCTATTACTGCTGCTCCATAAACCTTAAAAAGCAGTCGGAACATTCAGGGCTTCGCCCTGATACGAGCAGCCTTGTTATTATTTAGTTTTGCTATAACTAAGTTTTTTTATAAAGTTAAATTTTTAGGGGATCGTTTTGAAAAAGAAGTTAAAGCAGCAAACAGGCCGACAAATGAGAAAAATTCAAAAATTGTATAGGAGAATCAAGGCAGACATTGAAACATTTAAATGACATGAAAAGCAAATGCCACAAAACTAGTAAAGTTCCCCGTTACAATCAGGCATTGGTCAAGATGATATCCCAACAGACAAAAATATTGCCAATAAAATCAATAACTTTTTCAATACAATTGGAAGACAACTCACAAATTTCTAACTTTGTTAGATCAGAAATTGATTACGTTCAACATTCAATGTTACTGAAGAAAACAAACTCGAGGACTGCTAAACGATGGAGCGAAAAATGAAAATTACTTTTTCTACTACTAGCATGGAACAAATGTTATGTACGTGTTTTGTATATCTGTTCTAGTCATGATCCAGAAATTTTTTGTTGCTCTATGGTAAACAATTCGGATTTCGAAATAAGCATAACATAAATGATGCGCTAGCCGAGCTCACTGAAAGAATAAGACTTTTCCCTTCATCAAAGTTTTATTACTTTTTGCCTAGATTTGAATAAAGCATTTGATACTATTGAATATGATATCTTGCTTCATAAATTAGAGACGCATGCTTTCAGAAGTAACATTTTGAAATGGTTCAAATCATACCTCAGCAATTGTAAGCATCGTGTTTAAATTAATGAAGCGTCATCTAGCTGGAGTAAAATAGACTGTGGGGTGCCACAGGGCTCGTTTCTAGGTTCTCTCCTTTTTCTTGTTTATATAGATGACTTGCCTAAAGCATGCAGCACCGCGAAAGTGTTGTAATTTGCGGACGATACAAACTAACCTCGATAGGCTGTTTAATTAAGGATGTACATAATGACATGTTTTCTGAATAATTGGCTTCAAACGAATATATTGGTGGCTAACGTTACTAAAACCGTTCAAATGAACATAAATTTGAGTGCTTTCATTCATATGTTCGAGTTAAACTCGAAGTCAAGAAAAAATCTGCATGCAAAAATGTAGGTATCTATATTGATTCAAGGTTTTTTTTTGTAAAACATTAATTTTGTCAAAATGGAACTCAATAAAAGATGTGGTAAAGTTTAAAATTAGGACATTATGTTCATAGGAGACTAATGATGAGCTTTTACTCTAGCAATAATGTTCCCATTCTCCAACACAGAGTTTTGATTTACGGTTTTAGCACCTATACTCAGCTGGAACCGATTCATACCGAAAAGAAAATCCTGAAAATCACTCGAGTATAAACTGTAAACGGTTTTCGAGTACCATACATACGAACTGCTTATATTCGTTTTAATCCTTGAATCTTTTTCATTTGGAATACTTTTTGAATGAATTATTTACCTTTAAAACACAAAAAGTAACCAGTAGAGCTGATTCTAACTTGCTCTCTGAACCATTTTGTAAACGTAAAACAGAGAAATTTTTGGTCCGATATCGATCGTGCAAATTTTTCAACGAGCTTAGTCTTCCGCGTCTAATTCCTGTCTAAATCGAAAACAGTTCCTTTTCTGAAAATTCTCATTTGTACTATAATTTGAAAATCTATCTGGTACAAAACTATGAAATGGCAAGATATATTTTCGGTTTGTAAGTTTTACAAAAACCCAAACACGTTGGCTGCTTGCAAGACCCATTAAAACCCAAAACCCATACAGGACTACTATCTATGAGTCAGATTTCTGTTTAAAAAATGACACTCCATTTCCTTTTAATTTGAGATATCGAGGTTTTGATTTTTTGCTGAATTTACATACTTAATTTCCAAAACTTACTTGAAAAAATGTGTCCGTAAATCTTTGGCCATTTTGACCAATTTGGGACAATTAACGCGCGATATAATTCGCGCTTTTAACGCGTAAGCGGAGATTTAATCGTTCTTATAAATCGTTCCAAATTGGTTGAACGAAGCTTATTTGCCATAATTGATTTGTTACAAGGAACGAAATCTCCAGTTTTGTACTTTATATGGCGTCTGGGGGGATGATTTTCATTTAAAAAATCAAATTTTAGAAAAAAAAATTTTCATTTTATTTTTTTTCATTTAATTTTTTTGTCCTATTACTGCTGCTCCATAAACCTTAAAAAGCAGTCGGAACATTCAGGGCTTCGCCCTGATACGGGCAGTCTTGTTATTATTTAGTTTTGCTATAACTAAGTTTTTTTATAAAGTTAAATTTTTAGGGGATCGTTTTGAAAAAGAAGTTAAAGCAGCAAACAGGCCTACAAATGAGAAAAATTCAAAAATTGTATAGGAGAATCAAGGCAGACATTGAAACATTTAAATGACATTACTAGCAAATGCCACAAAACTAGTAAAGTTCCCCGTTACAATCAGGCATTGGTCAAGATGATATCCCAACAGACAAAAATATTGCCAATAAAATCAATAACTTTTTCAATACAATTGGAAGACAACTCACAAATTTCTAACTTTGTTAGATCAGAAATTGATTACGTTCAACATTCAATGTTACTGAAGAAAACAAACTCGAGGACTGCTAAACGATGGAGCGAAAAATGAAAATTACTTTTTCTACTACTAGCATGGAGCAAATGTTATGTACGTGTTTTGTATATCTGTTCTAGTCATGATCCAGAAATATTTTGTTGCTCTATGGTAAACAATTCGGATTTCGAAATAAGCATAGCATAAATGATGCGCTAGCCGAGCTCACTGAAAAAATAAGACTTTTCCCTTCATCAAAGTTTTATTACTTTTTGCCTAGATTTGAATAAAGCATTTGATACTATTGAATATGATATCTTGCTTCATAAATTAGAGACGCATGCTTTCAGAAGTAACATTTTGAAATGGTTCAAATCATACCTCAGCAATTGTAAGCATCGTGTTTAAATTAATGAAGCGTCATCTAGCTGGAGTAAAATAGACTGTGGGGTGCCACAGGGCTCGTTTCTAGGTTCTCTCCTTTTTCTTGTTTATATAGATGACTTGCCTAAAGCATGCAGCACCGCGAAAGTGTTGTAATTTGCGGACGATACAAACTAACCTCGATAGGCTGTTTAATTAAGGATGTACATAATGACATGTTTTCTGAATAATTGTCTTCAAACGAATATATTGGTGGCTAACGTTACTAAAACCGTTCAAATGAACATAAATTTGAGTGTTTTCATTCATACGTTCGAGTTAAACTCGAAGTCAAGAAAAAATCTGCATGCAAAAATGTAGGTATCTATATTGATTCAAGGTTTTCTTTTTAAAACATTAATTTTGTCAAAATGGAACTCAATAAACGATGTGGTAAAGTTTAAAATTAGGACATTATGTTCATAGGAGACTAATGATTAACTTTTACTCTAGCAATAATGTTCCCATTCTCCAACACAGAGTTTTGATTTACGGTTTTAGCACCTATACTCAGCTGGAACCGATTCATACCGAAAAGAAAATCCTGAAAATCACTCGAGGAGTATAAACTGTAAACGGTTTTCGAGTACCATACATACGAACTGCTTATATTCGTTTTAATCCTTAAATGTTTTTCATTTGGAATACTTTTTGAATGAATTATTTACCTTTAAAACACAAAAAGTAACCAGTAGAGCTGATTCTAACTTGCTCTCTGAACCATTTTGTAAACGTAAAACAGAAATTTTTGGTCCGATATCGATCGTGCAAATTTTTCAACAAGCTTAGTCTTCCGCGTCTAATTCCTGTCTAAATCGAAAACAGTTCCTTTTCTGAAAATTCTCATTTGTACTACAATTTGAAAATCTATCTGGTACAAAACTATGAAATGGTAAGATATATTTTCGGTTTGTAAGTTTTACAAAAACCCAAACACGTTGGCTGCTTGCAAGACCCATTAAAACCCAAAACCCATACAGGACTACTATCTATGAGTCAGATTTCTGTTTAAAAAATGACACTCCAAATCCTTTTAATTTGAGATATCGAGGTTTTGATTTTTTCCTGAATTTACTTACTTAATTTCCAAAACTTACTTGAAAAAATGTGTCCGTAAATCTTGCCTAACGGTAGATGTTGATAAGACCAGCAGGTCACCCTGTCTATTATTTCTCGCTACTTGAATCGGATTTTAAAAAAACACATATATTTTTGATTATCATATATTTTATTTGTTAATTCTGTGATCACCGCCTTGTTGATTCTTGGTTTCAGCATCAAGGTTAGACGGTTAATGGGCCAAGAGGCCCATTTGTCTATCCATTCCTGTATAAGATCATATATTGTTGATGTATTTGTTTATACATGGAAAAACTAATTCTTTCTTTCTTATATTCTTTGGTTCCCGTCTTTCGATGACTTTGAAATAAGCTAATGAGTTTAAAAAAGTTCAACAATCATTTTTTGGGCAATTTGCACAAAATACGGATAGCAAAACGTGATTGTTTGAAGATGAGCGGTTGTGATTCACTGACCAGCGAGGTAGCTGTGAGCGTAGATGAGTTTGCCCTGCTCTATGAACTCTGCAATGTTTGCCACCTTCTCCGGCACCTGCACAATGTAGGCGAAGTTCTCTTTCGCAGCCAGCAGCTGACTGTGTTCGGCCGCTGTGTCAACTAGATTGGGCAACATCACATTCATGCTGTTCAGATGTTTATACGCTGCACTCACTTCGCTCATGTGCTCTCGCACCTATCAAATGATGACTATTTTTAGATGCTGTCGAATAAGGTCGAATTCCAACTCTCATTATTTGTGAACAGAGGACGACTCAGGATTTTATCGAGATAGGTGGCGAATTTCCAAAAAAAAATGTTCAAAAGCTTCGTCTATTGTTTTCAGGTCAACCAAGTACAGATCAAAACGATCCATCTTCTGCTCCGCATGCAATTGTTTTTCTTTCAAATTGAGCGAAAAATGCTATGTTTTGACAAAATTAGTATTTTTGGGCACATTTAGATACATTGACAGTATTGTGACTTGATTGAAACAACACTCGATGATAAATCACAAATAAAAAATCTACTTTTTGGATGTCATTGACAGCAGCGTCCAATTGTGTGAGGCCTGTCTTGATCCCATCTAACTGGCTCTTGATGGCCGTCCTTAGTCGGGTGTCCACATTGGCCTTCCTACTCAACTGAGTCTTCTTCTTCTCTCTCAGATTGTTCAGATCCTCCTCCGTCTGCAGAACACTCTTCACCTTCAACACACACAATCACTCACAAACACTTACAACTGCCTTTGAACTTGAATTCACTCAGGGCATTGGTACAAAACAAAGTATTTTAAAAGAAAAACGCATCACGGTTTTCAATTGATCTTTATGGTTTTTACTTTTGAACACACAGTTGATCTGCATTTACTACCTTGTAAAACCCATCGATCATACTGTGAAATTTGGGTTTGAAAAGCCGCCATGTTATCTGAGTTATATTTTTTGCCTTTCAAAAATAATCAAATGACAAAGATTTTTGGCTAAACTATTTCAATAACACATATTAACCTGTTTTTTTTTCGAATCAATTATGCGGGTAATTCTTAAAATTAATCCACTTTTGAACATAAAATCGCCTTTAAGCTTTTTTTCATGATGTTTGCTGTACCTGCTCTAGTGCCCTCTTGAAAACTTCTGACTCCGAATCGAGAGCAGCTCCAGATACTGACTGCCTATGTTTAGACATAGGCACCATTTATAGCATGGAAACTTATCTAGAATTCAAGAATTTACAAACATAGCAAAGACAGTTGGGAAAGAGCCCAAGAACGCAAAAAAAACAGAAAAATAACTACTTATTAGTTAGAGCAAGCAACTTGATGAAAGGTTAAAAAATGGCACAACAAACTGTACAGCAAAAGCAATTAACTTAAAAGGACCTCAAAAAGAAAACCAAAAATTCAGATCAAACATTTCGTATCATCTTCCTGAAGAATCTGACAAAGGAAGTCATCCAAAACTAAATATCGAAAAAAGTTGTTGGAGAACAGAGCTGTTCACTACTAAAGAATGAATGGCTTGAGAACTGAAATCATCTGACAAAATGAAATAAAACAAGGTATCAAAGAGACAACCGAGCTGCCAGAAAAAACATCAGGCGCCAAATGGTCGGCATAACCAGATGCATAAACAAGCCTATCAGTGACTACTTCGTTTTCTTCAAATACCAGACAAAACCAAACGAATGAACCTATTGAACGTTAGAAATCCAAGTCAGAGTAACTATGAGTAAATCAGGAATCACATAGTCGTTATAATCATTCCTTAAAATCAACCTTCTGTAAAATGGGTATAAAATGTTTAAGACTGAAGTCACACTAACAATGAAGGGAAAAAAAGCTCGAGCATCAAAATTCTAAGATTGTCAAAAACCTAAGATTTCTAACGAAGCCAAAAGCTCAAAACAGTGAACCAAACAGACTACAAAAAAAATCAATAACAAAATTTCATTTTATTTCAGAAATTTTTTTTTGTTTGTAAAGTAGACATATGAAAGGGAAGAAAATTGAATCAGAGTAACTATGATTAAATCAGGATTCAAATAATCGGTAACATCATTTTCTAAGAAAAAACAATTCTCTGAAAAAAGGACAGAGCTACTGCAGCAGTTGAACTTCACGGTAAAAAACAACATGCCCAACATATGAATCAAAAAAGATATTTAAAACCTATGAAAAAATCACAAATCGAGTACTCAGCTTATTAAATCTTCTTGAGATGTGAAAAGATATTTTTTGATTCAGAAATCAGATAAACTAATATCGGAAGTGAACACTTCGGTTCTTCAATTATCATACACAAACATATGAAGAAGCTATTGAACGATACAAATCCATGTCAGAGTAACTATGAGTAAATCAGGAATCAAATCGTCGTTATCATCATTCCTTAAAGTCAATCCTCTGAGAAACGAACATATAATCTCCCAGAGTTAGGTCAAAATTACAATGAATGAAGGAGAATTTAAAACATCGGCTTCCCTATTGAATGTGAAACTTTTGCTCAAAAAGAAACCTAGTTACAAAAACAAAACCAACTCAGGGTAAATATGAACATCAATTGAAATCAAATATCGATCCGCTCGAGAGAAAATATAAGTAACAAAAAATTTTGTTGCACAATCTTCGCCATTTTACCTGGAATAAAGCGAACACAGAACCTAAAAAGAAAAAAATATATAAGCAGCAGCTACTCTCAAATCTAAGTAACCAAGAAAAAATCAGAAATCAAAAGGCCAGTATCATCCCGGAAAAAAATGTAGTTAAACTTCGAGAACTTGAAATCAAAAGCACAATCTACTCATCAGGAACCAAAACATCAGCGAATCATTATTTAGAGACACAGAGGCGAAGCTGAGCTTCACACCACTTGCGGTACAAAAGGAAATACTGCGATGAAAAGCAAATGAAAAAAAAACCAAACATTGAAAAAAAAATCTTTTTTGAAAAAAAAATCGCAGAAAGCCTTAAATACCATGGTACAACAAAATTTACAGCAAAAGCAATTAACTTAAATGGACTTCAAAAACGTAGCAGTAAAACAAATATCAAAAATTTTATTTCATCTTCCTGGCAAATGATGTCACCCGAAATCAGATTTTTTTAAAAGTTGCTAGAGAACAGAGCTCTTCATTACCAATGAATGAATAGTTTGAGAATCTCATTTCCAGATACAATCTAAAAGATTGAATTTTAAAAAAGGTAGCAAAATGTCAAATCGAGCTACCAGATAAAAAATCAGAAGCCAAATGGTCGGCATAACCAGATGCATAAACAAGCCTATCATTCAATTAAACAGAAGTGCTCTCGTGGAAACACCAAAAATCGATGTATCCTCATTTAATACGACTTAGCGCGAATTAATATCCATCAAAAGTTTATATTTTACAAATCTATAAGTAAATCAATTGGATCATCATTTCAAAAGCAGGCATCAATTTTCATTTTCAATTTCATATGTTTCATTGCAACACAGTTGCAACACGTGTAACATTTTCAAGAGCGAGCTCAGTGAATGAAGTTCTTTTCGGGAAAAAAGCACCCCGTTGCAATGCAGGGTAATGAAAGCACCAATTGATCGTTTGGGTAGTAAATGTTTCCCCTGTCAACATTTTTTTTCCAATTGTTCGCTCTCTTTCGGTTTTTGGCAAAATGTCGATTCAGGCTGAAACAGGTAGGTCAAGTAGGCGTTGTTGTAATGAATCATGTTGCACAATCATAATTTGAATTATGGGATGTGACAGATCATAATCTTGATTTTTAGAAGCGAAAAAAAAACATTCATGATTATTGAATAACGATTAATTTATGATAATCAAATCTTTTAGTGTACTCTGACTGCACACAATTACAGGGTTGGTAATTTCAAACTTTTTAATTCGCATTTTGAAAATCCATAGAAGCATCATCTTGAAAACTTAGTGGGCCACTGGAGAAATTTGGAGGCCAGATTTGCAACCACTGAGAGCCCCTGATTGCACCCTACTATACGGTTGGGAATTTCAATTTCGTGAAATTTTTTAACTTAAGATTCTCGATAAAAATTGAATAAATCATAGAAAAAAATGTCTTATCTCGGAAACTAAAAGATTTGAGCACTCAACTACAAAGTTAGGAATTTCAAATTATGAAAAATCACAAAAAACGTCATATCTCGAAAACTACAAGGAATTGAACAGTCATATTTGGAGGCAAGATTTGCAACACCCCGAAAGAACCCAACCACAGGGTTGGGAATTTCAAATTTAAAAAAAATAATAAATTTAGGTTTTCTGAAAATTTTGAAAAAATCACAAAGAACGTCATATCTCGAAAACTACAAAGAATTGGGCAGTCATATTTGGAGGCAAGATTCGATATCCTTGAGACTACTCTGGCAAAACCCAAATACAGGATTACGAATTTCAGCTTTTGCGAAAAAAAATTGATATAAGTTTTCTGAATATTTTTTGAAAAAAATCACAAAAAACGTCATATCTCGAAAAATACAAAGATTCGAACAGTCACATCTGGAGGCAAGATTTCCAACTCCTTGGAGTACCCTGACAGCACCTAACTACGGGGTTGGAAATTTCAAATATTGAAAAATAATTAATTTAAGCTTTCTGAAAATTTTTGAAAAAATCACAAAAAACGCCATATCTCGAAAACTACCAGGATTTGAGCAGTCATTATGGGAGACAAGATTCGCAAGCATTAACAGTACTGAAAGTACCCAACTACAGGGTTGTGAACTTCAAGTTTTTTAAATCATTTTGTAATTTGAGTTTTCTGAAAATTTTAGAAAAAATCACCAAAATCGTCTTATCTCGTTAACTAAAAAAAATTTGGCCATTAAAAATTGGAGGCCGAATTCGCTACCCCTTGGTGAATCCGAACAGCAACCCAATATTGGGCTACTTATTTTAAACTAGGTGCATTAACCACTAAAATCAAACTGGAAAATCGAAAAAAAATCTTAACCATTGCAATATACCATATAGCTTAAATATGCAAAATAATACGTTGAAAAAGCTTAAACATGGCGAGATAGTGAAGGCCGCATTTAAATATATAATAGATAGATATTAGATCATGGATTATTTTGTTTGCGAAATAGAACTATGACACACGATAAAGTTAAATCAGAGTAATATGAACAAATCAGGAATCCAATTGTTGGAAACATCATTTTCTTAAAAGGCAATCCACACTGGTAAACAAGGATGGTCGGTTACTGTGCAAGTAGCACAAAATGTTCCGACCAGTCTTCAAAAAACTACAAGCATTTTTTTTTTTCAAATTGGTGCAGTTTTTTATGCGTGGTGTTATAAAATGATCTGACGTAAAAGTATATTTTAGGCATATTCGACCATAGTAAAATAGGCAAACAGGACAACAGTTTTTGATGGAAATGACCTAAAATACATAAAAAAAATTTTAAAAATCTATTTTTTTTTTCAATTTTCTTTGTAGAAATAGCATTTTCAAAATGACATTAAAAATCTCCAAAAAAACTTATTTGACTCGATTAAAATTAAAATCAATTATAAATAAGCTATTGTAAACAGCTTAAATAAGACAAAAATTAGACAAAAGTTGAAAATTTCAACTGGGTTTTTCTCGACACTAGAAAAAATGTTGCGAATTTTATAATGTGGTTCGAATCAGGACTGAAAGGGCTTTAATATGATATATAATTCAACCCAGTCCGATGATTATTTGTTGTACCTGATGTTGCGTGGAAAACAAAAAGAAAAAACAAGTAGCACAGAATGTTCCGACCAGTCTTACAAAAATTTAACAAAAGAATTTTTTCAAAGTAGTGTCGTTGTTTCGGCGTGGTGTGATAAAGGAATCTGAGCGAAAAAGAAGATCTTAGGCATTTTCATCAGCCATCGTGAAACTAAATTTTCAAGGCTTGAATTAAGCATAAATAAGCAAATGCAAGCCTAAATTCAATTGGTATCATTAATGAATGAGAAGGTACGTGCATAAAAACGAGCACGTAAAGCACTAAGACTAAGAATCCAATCAGAAAACCCATGAATGCATGAGGAATCAAATGGTATTAGTCACCTCTGCCAGTCGTTATATCTTTCGCGTCGTCAACTGAGAAAACTTTCTAAGAAAAATTGAACAAAGAAATTTAAGTAATACCAACAAAATGGCTGTTAACTCAAGAAAACCATAATCTAAAAAAAAACAGCCAATTGAAGATTGGAAAAGAGTAATTAACG